AACGAAAATTCCTTCCAAAATTAGTCCCGCAGATCGAAGCTGAAGTCAATAAGTTAATAGACGCTGGATTCATTCAAGAAGTCAAATATCCAACATGGATTGCTAATATTGTGCATGTCAAAAAAAAAGAATGGATAAATTCGAGTTTGTGTTGATTTTAGAGATTTAAATCAAGCATATCCAAAAGATGGCTTTGCACTGCCAATTACAAAACTCATGGTTGATGCGACCACGGGACATGAGATCTTATCTTTTATGGATGGTTCTTCTGGATACAATTAAATTTGAATGGACCCTAAGGATGAAGAACTCACTGCATTTCAAACCCCCAAGAGAGTTTATTGCTATAGAATGATGCCCTTCGGACTCAAGAATACTGGTGCCATATATCAGCGTGCAATGCAAAAGATTTTTGATGATGTACTACACAAAAATGTTGAATGTTATGTTGATAACCTAGTCATAAAGACAAAAAGATGTGAAGATCATCTTGATGATTTGCGTAGCATTTTTGAACGGCTTTGGAGATATCAATTAAAAATAAACTCCTTAAAGTGTGCCTTTGGGGTTACCTCTGGCAAGTTCCTTGGATTTGTTGTCAGACATCGAGATTGATCAATCAAAAATAGAGGCTATTCTAAAGATGCCAGAGCCTCACAATCTGCATGACTTGAAAAGTTTTCAAGGAAGGCTTGCCTATATACTAAGATTTATCTTGAACCTCGCCGGACATTGTCATCTGTTCAATAAACTAATGAAGAAGGATGTTCCTTTTGAATGAGATGATGCCTGTCAAAATGCTTTTGAAAATATCAAACAAAATCTCATTCATCCCCCAGTCTTCGCAGCACCAATTCAAGGAAAACCATTGATCCTTTATATTGCTGTCCAAGAACAGTCATTAAGAGCACTCTTAGCACAAGTTAATGATGAGGAAAATGAAAATGCATTATACTATTAGAGTCGGACATTAGTAAGTGTAAAACTAAACAACTCACCTATTGAAAAGATGTGTCTTGCATTAGTCTTCGCTACAAAGAAGTTGAGGCATTATATACTGGCTCATGTTGTTCATCTTATTTCAAAATCTGATCTTGTCAAGTACATTATATCAAGACCAGTTCTCTCAGGAAGGTTGGCAAAATGGGCACTTCTATTATCTGAATATGACATAGTTTATGTTCCACAAAAAGCAGTCAAAGGACAAGCATTAGCTGATTTTCTTGCAAATCATCCGATCCCTACAGACTGGGAACTACCAGAAGAATTGCCAGATGAAGAAGTTTTCTTCACTGACTTCATGCCGTCTTGGAAGTTATACTTTGAAGGTACTACTCGAAGATATGGAGTTGGTGCAAGTGTGGTCTTCATTACCCCTGAAGACGAAGTATTGCCTTACGCAATTACCTAGACAGAGTCTTGCTCCAATAACATGGCGAAGTACCAAGCTTTGATCATTGGCTTAGAAATGACACTTGATATGTAACTCTCTCAGTTGAAAATCTATGGAGACTCGCAGCTGGTGGTTTATTAGGTTTTTAAATTGTATGATGTTTGTAAACCAGATTTGATTCTATATTGTCACTATGCAACTCAACTTATGAGTCAGTTTGATTGAGTCACCGTTGAAAAAGTTCCACGCGGTGAAAACAAATATTCTGATGCTCTTGCCAATCTTGTCGTCGTGCTTACAAAATCCTATTACCAAATAATTTCAGTTCCAGTTTGTCAAAGATGGCTAATACCTCCGTTACTCCCTGAAATGGAGGAAGTTACTACCATTTCAGTAGCGCAAGTTGAAAATGAAGATTGGAGGCAACCTTTGATTGATTATTTGCAGTATGGAAGATTACCAAATGACCCACGTCATAGAACCGAGATACGACAAACAACTCCTCGATGAATTTATTATAAAAACATCCTCTATCGTCGTTCATTTGATGGTATTTTCCTGTGATGTTTGGACGAAGATGAAGCTGCACAAGTACTTGAGGAAGCTCATTCTGGAATCTGTGGGGCTTATCAATCAAGACCTAAATTACATTTTCGCATAAAGAGAATGGGGTATTATTGGCCCACTATGGTGCAAGACTCGATGAGTTACGCTAAGAAATGTCAATCTTGTCAGTTTCATGCCAATTTCATTCACCAGCCACCTAAACCATTGCATCCTACAATGGCATCATAGCCTTTTGATGCATGGGGGCTTGATGTCATAGAACCTTTGACTTCAAAATCGTTAGTAGGACATCTTTACATCTTAGCAGCAACTGATTATTTCTCCAAGTGGGTGGAAGCGGTTCCTCTTAAAGAAGTGAAAAAAGAGAATGTTGTCAACTTTATTCGAACAAATATTATATGTCGGTATGGTGTACCTCGTTACATTATCACTGATATTGAAAAATCATTTGTCAATAACCTCATGGCCAAGCTCTGCATCAAATTTGGATTTGTACAACATAATTCATCCATGTACAACGCACTAGCCAAAGGACTCGCAGAATCCTTTAACAAAATCTTGTGCAACTTATTGAAGAAAGTTGTCTCCAAATCAAAGAAGGATTGACATGAAAGGGTTGGTGAAGCTCTCTGGGCATATCAAACAACATACCGAACTCCAGCACAAGCTACTCCATACTCCCTTGTGTATGGCGTTGAAACTGTTCTTCTTTTGGAACATCAAATTCCCTTCCTGCGGATCGCCTTACAAGAAGAACTCACAAATGAAGAAAATATTCATTTACGTCTAGATGAGCTTGAAACACTTGACGAGAAGAGACTAGATGCACAACAAAACCTCAAATGTTACTAAGCCATACTTCCCAAAGCCTTCAATAAGAGGGTTCGTGTCCGATCATTCCAAATAGGAGATTTGGTCCTTGCAATTCGAAGACCCATTGGAAAGGACGCACTAGCCAAAGGACTCGCAGAATCCTTTAACAAAATCTTATGCAACTTATTGAAGAAAGTTGTCTCCAAATCAAAGAAGAATTGACATGAAAGGGTTGGTGAAGCTCTCTGGGCATATCAAACAACATACCGAACTCCAGCACAAGCTACTCCATACTCCCTTGTGTATGGCGTTGAAACTGTTCTTCTTTTGGAACATCAAATTCCCTTCCTGCGGATCGCCTTACAAGAAGAACTCACAAATGAAGAAAATATTCATTTACGTCTAGATGAGCTTCAAACACTTGACGAGAAGAGACTAGATGCACAACAAAACCTCAAATGTTACTAAGCCATACTTTCCAAAGCCTTCAATAAGAGGGTTCGTGTCCGATCATTCCAAATAGGAGATTTGGTCCTTGCAATTCGAAGACTCATTGTCATTCCACATCGCACCGGTAGAAAATTCATGCCAAAATGGGATGATCCGTATGTGGTGAAAGAAGTCTACACCAACGGCGCGTACAAGATTGTTGACAAAGATGGCTTGAGGGTTAACCCAATTAATGGAAAATTTTTAAAGCACTTCTACGCCTGAAAACAAGTAACGCTCCTTTATGCATGAGCCTAAACTGCATGTTACTCTTGACCCAGCATGAGTTAAAACTGTGCACGACGCCAACCTATAAAAAAACAAAAAAAAAGCACTTATTGCTCTTGGCCCGCATAAACTAAAATTGTGTACAGCTTGACCAAAAATAAAGGTCTATGTGCTCCTTTACACACGAGCCTAAACTGCATATTACTCCTGACCCACATGAGTTAAAACTGTGCATGACGTCAACCTATAAAAAAAAACAACAAAAAAAAAACTTGTTACTCCTGCTCCGCATGAGTTAAAACTGTGTACGGCTTGACCAAAAATAAAGGTTTCATGTGCTCCTTTACGCACGAGCCTAAACTGCATGTTACTCCTGGCTCACAAGAGTTAAAACTGTGTACGACTTTAAAAAAAAAAATTACTTAGCTTAACCAAAAAAAAAGAACTTTTTTACTCCTAGCCGGCATGAGTTAAAACTGTGTACGACTTAATAAAAAAAAACTTTTTTACTTCTAGGCTGCATGAGTTAAAACTGTGTACGACTTAACCAAAAGAAATTTTTTTTTTTTACTCCTGGTCCGCATGAGTTAAAACTGTGTACGGCTCAACAAAAATAATTCATTCGAAATTATGTTTAATCTTAAATTTTTTCTTTGAGATATCTAAGTTATTTGAGAATCAATCTTTTTTAAGTACAATAAATAATAGCATAAATTTTTTTTTCAAATCTAAACATCCATATTTGCTAAATATATATATATATATATATATATATATATATATATATATATATATATATAAAGAATTACAATTGAGGAGTTATGAACTCATAAAAAATTTTCAACCCAGTCGATTGAGGCTAGTGAAGAAAATTCCTTTTCTAACATGGATCATATCTTGTCTATATTTTGTATCTCCTCAACACTACGAATATGAGACTCCTAGAGTTCGACACGTTCTTTCTCCATCACCACAATAGTCTCTTCAGTGTTCTGTCATTCATCACGAATAAAATCAATGCTAGATGCTACCTCGGCCCTCCAATTTTGCAATCGTCGAATTTCATCATCAAGACTTAATAACTTTGCTTCAGATTTCAACAGTTGTTCACTCAAGTTTTTCCTCCTGATATCGTGCTATCAATTGTTGCCAACCTTCTATCTTTTTCTCTAGAGGTTAAAACTTTGACGTTTTTCTTGGCATTTTGAAAGATACTCATCTACTTTCATAATAAGACAATCCATTTTTCTCACCAAAGGATCTGTGTCAACATAAAATTTTTTTTTAAGAGTAGCTTTAATACTTAAAGACTTGGAGGTCCACCAGATCTTCAATCTAGAGAAACCATTTTTCATGGCATAATCAAATTCACCCTTCAAATATGGGGGCATTATGGTTAGAATTATTTTCTTTGCCAATTTTTCAGAAGTAATTGCTTCAACAGGAGGACCTGACACAAATAAAGATATGTGATTAGTTGCATATTAATCGAAATGGCAACTAGGTCAAGCTAATGAAATATACCTAAGATAGATGAAAACATCGACATTAGTCTTGGAGATCGCGCTTCACCAAATCCATAAGGCTCAGGAAGAGTATTCATAACAGAATTATTAATAGCTTCTTGTCTTGCTTGTATAGCACATGAAGGGTTTGTTTTAGAATTAACTTCCCTTTCACATGGATTGACATTTTCTCCATCAACTAAAGAAAGAATTTCACCACTGCCAGAAAGAATGGATATGGTCCGATCGTTGTCATCAAATAAAGCTTCAATGATATCATTGTCAAGATTTTGGCCTCCACAAATACTTGGGATGGAATTTAATGTAGCAAGATCTTGAAGTGGAGGAAATGCTTAAAAAAAAAAAGGTAAGAGGTTTGAAATATAAAAAAAACAATGATAATAGTAATGAAATTTTGCAAGTACCTTTACTGCGGGATCGCGTGGATAATTATAAAAAAGTTGATAAGTCATTCAGAGCATCACAAGATGGGTTAACTCTACCTGTGGGAGACTTTGTAGTGGTATGATTTGCACCATCTTCTGGCACGGCACAAGCCAAATTATACTCAGCTTTTGTAGCTCTTGTTTGGCACCGCTCTTGAACTGTCTACTTAGTAGAACCAGGATTATCAACTGGTATAATTGTGCTTGGAATCCTTCCATGATTCGAGCCTATATCATGTTTCTTGAAAATACCCTTGGATATGCGGGATAAAAGGAGTGCATGATCAGATTCATTTGACGAACTCACTTCAGCAGACTCTAGGATGTTTAAAGGATGAACAGATCAAACATTAGCTGATCTTGAAACAGGTGTTGTGACCTTCAACATCTTCGGAACCGATTGTTCTTGGGAATTCAAACAATGCTTTGAAGTTTCCCATTTTCGAAGACGTGAAGGAGCTTTAGCTACTGTAGGAAGGGATTTCCCCTTCCTTGACTCGTCAACTCGAGCTTTGAATTTGAAATTCTCATATTTACTAGCTAACAAGGTTTTACAATTGATGTCATCTAGGTGTGGGAATATATCATATTTCCACCAATTGTTATAACTACTGTCACACCAATTCTTAATGCGAGTGTAATTATTAAGGATATGGAATCCTGCCCCACTGTTTATCCTAGTTAAACTCAACTACGCCCGATATAAAAAAGAGGCATCAAACAAAATTATTGATAGACATGAGAGAGTACCAGGTAATCTTTGATGAAATCCATGCTACCTAGCAAAACGATGTGGGTTATACATCTAAAGAATGCAAACTGGGCCACGACGATACATGACGTGTCCACCTCGCATACTTGTCATTAGTTCAGAGGTTTCATCTAATATTTGTCCATCATCACGATGAGGTCCTCGATTTCCAGAATATGGAACTGGTTGCCAGCAAAAATGACTGGAACTCATACTTCCACATAGAAGATCTCAAAATCCTTTCGCTTCTTCCTCATAAAAAAGATAAGCATTCAGTGTACCTTTGAATTGTCAAAGCAAAGGACGATTAAACTCCTCATCAACCTCAGCATAAACTCTCCGAGGGAAATGCAACACTACCCAAGCATAAAAATAATGACCAGGAAAAGCATAAGAAGTCATTTCGAGGTTCTTTTGATCATATCGGGTTCTGCATGTCTCAGATAAACCTCTGTAAATACTTGCAACAATAGGAGGAACCAAGCTATATGTGACTCCAGCAGTCATTCGGGAGGCAGTATTGAAGATAGTTGGACGAATAACATCATCTGATGAAGGAAATACAAAGCGACATAGCCATAAAGCTAAATAAGTTGCAATCTCCATGTCTTCGCGTGTTGTGACATCAAGGTCAAGATCTAAAAGAATGAAGGGATCATCACCATTGACATTTGTCTTCATTGGTTGTATTTCTGCCTGAATAGGTCTCACCAATCTTCGCTTTGCAAAAAGTTCTCCATCCCTTTTAAAGCAATTTGCCATGATTGCTTTATATGCCTTGCTCTTCTTAGGATCTGGAGCACGTGCACCATCCTTGAACCAAAAATCAAGCCAAACTGAATGACGGGAACGATTATCTCCTTTGTTCTTATTGATTAAGACAAAAGCCTTAAACAAGTGCAGACAAGTCACAGGAAAAACACTAGTATCAGAGTCTCTCAATTCAGTCAAGCTTGGGATAACTTCTTCAAAATATTCACCACAGATTGAAAGACCGATGACGTGTTGCATTTCCCAAAGTGAGATTCCAATTTCTTTTGCTCTTGTAACAAATGTATTCGTCTATGGACACCAAACTTCACAAATGGCGCAATATACACTGTTGGGTCGAGAGTAGTTAAAAGAAGCTGCATGCACAGCATAATCAAGTTTGTCGAAATCCTTATCTAACAACTTGCAGTAAATTTGTTGAGACCACTCCCAAAACCCATTCAGTTATTGAATATCTCCCCATGGGTTCAATGAACATCCCCACCTCGCAATCCTCTGGTTGATCAGATCAGCAACAAGTGGCTTTGGGATAAGATGATCTTTGGAATGATACGAAGGTGCACAAAGTGAGGGTAGTCAATCTGATTTAACCGTGTCACTTTTGTGCATGTTCTTTGGCAGAGGATATTCACTAATCACCGGTATATGAAGTTCAGGTTCATAGATTATTCTCGAGCGGCTGCAGGGACCAGTCATGGGCTCAAGAACTTTGAGTGATAATGTTGACAACTCCTTAGTTCTGTAGTTCTTTACTACAATAGTTGGAAAACACAAAACTTTGTTTTTCAGAATTAGATCTTCTGACTCAACAATCCACTCATTGGAAGGTAAGTTCTTTCTTTGACTTGAAATTTTGATAATTTTTCCCGATTTGGCTGTTTGAGATGCGGCCATTTGAAAAATAATAAAAATAATAATAAGGAAAAAAAAAAGAGGGCAAATAATAATTTTTAAATATATATATATATAATAAACTTTGATGCTATAAATAAAGTGGGAAAAAAATAATAATAATAGTGGTAATACAAGAATACTAGCAATACAAGAATAGATAAGTCACCTAAAGTTGTTACAGAAGTCACCTAGAGCTGTTACAGAAGTCACCCTGAGCTGTTACAGAAGTCACCTTAGGTCGCTACAGAAGTCACATTGGGCTATTACAAAGTCACCTAGGGTTGTTGTATAAGTCACATAGGGCTCTTACATAAATTACCTTAGGCTGATACGAAAGTTACCTTTGGTTGTCATAGAAGTCACTATAAGCTGTCACGGAAGTTACCTTAAGATGTCACAAGAGTCACATAAGTTGACACAAAAAAAAAAAAAAAAATCACTAAAGGTTGTCATAGAAATCACAAAAATAATAATAATAAAGTAATAAAATAAAAATTTTATAACATAATTCACCTATAGTTGACATAAAAGTTACAAACTGATGGAATGAATGTTATCTAAAGTAACATTTTTGAGAAAAGTTATTTAAAATTAAAATTCTTAGCACAAGTCAACCCAATATAAAATTTCTTAGAATAAAGTTTCTTAAGATAAAATTTTTGAAAAAAAAAAAAAAGAGAAAAAAAAAAGTGTTGAATGGCGGCAACAGTAAAAAATAGTGACCAAGGATTCACCTTCTTGACCAACCCAAGATCCTATAACACAGAATTTACATGCGAGGTTGCTTGTATTAAAAAAAAAATGAAGCTATCAAAACTATTAAAAAAGGAAGATAAAAAAAATTTGTGGTATAAAAAAATTTTGCTTTTAATGAGAACCAACTGAGAATATTAAATAGGTTTTATATTGCCAGTCAATTAAAAAAAATTAGGAATTATGTTGTTCTTAAAAAAACATAAAAAAAAAAGTCAAGAACACACACAAAAATGACAAAACAAAACAAAGAAGAAAAGAGAAAGGAATAGTATCCGAATAAGTTGAATTTTTAACCTTTATTGAAGAGCTAATTCTTTTGAGTCACATGAATATAGAATCAGTCTAAAATAAAATTTTGTAACAAAATCAAAATTTTGTAACAAAATCAGTCTAAAATAAAATTGTTCAAAAAAGTCACATGAAATAATATATCATGGAACAAGGTCGCAAAAACAGTCGATCAATATCACCCAAAAATAAATAAATAAATAAATAAAATATAGAATAAACAAATTCATGTTATGAAATTAAGGTAGTGATCAAAAAGGATTTTGAGCATAAAAAAAAAAGAAAATTCATGTGTAAAAATTGACACCGAATAATAATAGTAATCATTATAGAAAGAAAAAAAATTGTGGTCAAATCTTACCATAATAAATTTAAAAACACTATAATCAATAAACTTAAACAAAAATAATCAATAAGCAAAAGTATGAATATAGTATTAATACACAAAACTGGGTGCCCCATTAAATGAGGAATTCAAAGTTGGTTGTTGCACCAAGCAATATGCAAAAATGTACGGTACGAAAAAAAAGCTCAAGAAAAAGAGGGTTTCTGTCACACACATGCTAAAGAATAAAATACAAGAAATAAATCAAATAAAGGACAAGTATTTAGTTGAGGAGTCTGAGCTTCACCGATCCATGGGCAAAACCAGTAAAAAGTCTTGTTCCACTGAATCCTACAGGCATCTTTAAATAGAGAGAAAAAAAAAATATTGTTCAAGGATTCGGTGTCTATATTTTAGGTCTATGTGTTTAAGTAGAACAAAAGAATTATTATATATCTTGACCCCATAAAAATTAGAATTCCATGTTGCTCATGGTTAAGAATAATAATATGCTAAAAAAATAATTAAAAAAATCCAAATTAAATAAAATTCTTTCATGAATTTTTGAATACAGTAATAAAAAGATACTCTAGTATTATATTCATATCAATATGACCCACTAAAAAAATTGTTGTTTTGATTCTAGCCAAATTAAATTGACAAAGACTAGCACTTTGATTCTTATTAGTAAGACTTAAGAGCCATTAAATCCAAATAATATACAATGATATGTATGACTAAGATAATTGGGTATTAAACCTAAAATAATAGGATCATTATGACATAAAAAATCTCATGTATACCTCATGCAAAGAAAGTGACAAATTACATACACCTAAACTTATTGTTAAAGAATGAATGAAAATTGTGATAATCGATACTAACTATGAAGGCAATAGAAAATCGATTAACATATTTCTTTATTAGTAAGTTTGAATCAACAAAGTTACATGTCTAAGAAATCATTATGCTGACAAAACTAAGCACCACAACAATCAAAAGCAATATATAAATAATTAAACAACGAAAGAGTCAACCTTACAAACTTGATTCAAGGTCCAAATTTGTTGATTAGCTGGTTGATCATAAAATTTCGAGTACATATAACCTCGTATATATACATATTCTAGTTCTATGTATTTAAGTTAAAACAAGAATTTGTTATCCTAGTCATAGACGGATTAAAAGTCTATATTTTAGGACTCTGTATTTAAATAAAAGAGATTTTTACATTAATCATAGACCAATATGTTCAAATAAAATATGATTGTGAAGCCCGTTTGGTTTAGGATTCTATATTTTGTTTAAAGTTCAATATGTACTATAATTCCAATTAAAATATATGTATATATATATATATATATATAATTAAATTAAATCAAACTCCTTTCAAATCAACATATAAATTGAGACCCATTTACATATTGGTAAATTATTGAATATGCAAATAAGTCTCGAGTGGACATTTGTAGACATTAAAAAATTAGTAAATAAAAGTCTATAATTGAACTCACATTAATTAGATAAATAAAATTGGATTGGATCTAAATTTCATAACCTAAATAATACAAGCTCAAATTTAATTAATAAGGTTTGTCAAATAAAATTAAATTGGACCTAAATTCCATAACCTAAATAATACAAACCCAAATTTA